GACGAGGAACGCAGGCCCAGCAAGACCAGATGTGGAGGCCCCCGCCCCCCCCCCCCCACACACGCACACACACACACCGCCCTCTCCAAACAACAACACTCCCAGAGAGTCAGGCCAGTGAAAGTGCAGCCCGGCCCATCTGCTGTGTAGGTGGCTGAATGACGTCCCAGAGTGCGAGCTGCCTGGCCTCTGACCTCCCCGCTGAGAGTTGCTTAAAGTGGCTCCTTCTCGGCTCCATTTCGTGGAAACACACACCGACACACACGCAGCTGCCCGTCCACGTCGCACTGCGCCGCGCAGGGAATATGGTGACGGAGAGGCAACGTCTGGTTGTGGTAAAAGTTGCCACGTCCTTCCGCTTGCGCATTAATTATAGATGTGGCATGTGGGTGTCTGATTGATATGAATATTTTACTGCTTTTAATCACTGCCATTGCCAGAGTGATGGAGCATCTGGCTGTATTACCTGGGTAATTAAAGAAACTGTCTCGCAAACGCGCTCACGCAACTCTCTGAGGCTGTGTCTGCGATATGAGACAGAAGTACTCAGGAGGCTTACTAATGAGTCCAAATTAAATTTGGACTGTTTTGAGGCAATGGAGCCTGAGAAAAGGTAGACGCTGCTCCACATTTCATTCTTGTTGTCTCTCTTCTCTCTGCTCAGCAAAATGCTTTTCAAATTGGCTGGATGCAAAACAGGAAAACAAAGCAAAGCAAAAATAAATCTATCTGTAGTTAAATGTCTAAACCTAAATTTTGCGTTTTCAGTCACAATTATCCTCTTGACTGATTGCAAATCCATCTGTGTTTACAGTGTTCAGTGGCAGCAGGAGAAAATTGGTTATGACCAGATTCGTCTGCCACTACTGTACGGATTATAATCATAAATATCGTCTCATCATGTCCATTCTTTTCCTGCTGGAGCCAAAAAAAAAAAAAAATTCTATTTATAGCAATCAGGGCAAAACCGTGGGGCTCTGGCAGCCTGGTTCATTCTTTCAGGTGCTGTCTAGTTTTCATTTAAGTAGGTTGACAGCACAGAGCTGCTTTTCAACTTCATAAAAACGCTTGTCCGAAGCAGCTTCAACACTTTCCACAAAGCAGGTCTCTGTACTTGGACCAGCTCTGTGCGAGTAATTGAAAAGAAATCAACAGCCATTCTTTGAAGACTGCCAAGCATGGCATGTTGAATGAAGCGGCCTGCGAGTGTTACGGCGATAACACTGGCTGCACCGCTGCTACTCCTCAGTTATGTATTACTTGCGGCTTGTGCGATACTATTAATTTTAAGTGTTTTCTCTCTCTCTTTTTTTTTGCAGAATGGGAAAGTGTTTATGTTCACTGGGATGTTGGGAGCCGTGGCAGATCTGGACCAGCTCATGATTGTTCTTGGACATGAAATGGCTCATGCTATCCTGGACCATTCGGTAAGCTCACGACCTTATGCAATTGCTGTTGCTTAATGCTAATTGCTTTTATTAAAGCAACTTGTCGTATTTTTAATGATGTGGAATCTGTTTTAATGAAGCATATTAGATACGGATCCTTGCAAAAGTCTAAAACGCCTCAAACGTCTTCACATTTTGTCACATTAAAGCTACGTAGATCAACGTTGGAGGGTTTTTTTTTTCAATAGGCCGACATATAAATGTGAATCAGGGAAAATAAATGCAGTCAAAGCTGTTCAGAAAGATGTAGAGTTTTAAAATGACATAAAAAATGTTTCCAGAAACCAATATGGACTAGATGAAAGTTCTTGAATTCCCAAGTGTTGCTGCCCCTTTCTCCTGCTGCTACAACGTCCAGGTTCTGGAATATGATGAAATCAGCCTCTTTATGTCTACAATGTCTTACCAAAGTATTCATGTTCCCTTTGTATCTTTTCCACATGTCGTCATGCCTTGTAGAAAATGACAATATTTATATACCTTTCTTACATGTTATTCTAATTTTGTTGCCATTTTCACACATGCAAGATTTGCGAAGTGTGTGACTAACAATAGTTGTCATGCTGAAAGATTCTCCGACCTCAGCTGTCCTCACATGTGAGGAAAAGTTAAGAGCACTGCAAATTCAAATGTTCCTTCTTGGAAAAAATTGTTTTTATTGTCTTCTTTGAGTTCTATGACTATGTCACTTTGGGCTGCGTCAATTAACACCACCTTGTCTAGATATCACCCTTTGCTCCATCCATGAGTCGGTTTATTTCGACTGTGGCACCCCTTTCGGATTTATTGCGTCAGACTTTGCTGCGACTCCGTGACAGTCCCCTCCAAACACCCACCTAGTGCTGATTTATCAGGGCTCGTTTCTTTTTCAGAAACACTTTTCCCTGCAGTTCCATAATCCCCATTTGCTCTGTTCTAAAAGCTCCAAATAACTTTTTGGGCATTTCAAGTCTGTAGACATCCTGGGAGGAGATGCTCGGGAGGAGATTTTAATTAGCTGAAGGGGAACGAACGTCGATGACCTCGAAGTTACAAAGTTAGCGTGCCGTGATGGATAGACTCTTAAAACCTCTAAATCTGTTGCAGCGCAAAGTGTTTCAGCAGAATAGGTGAGAACAATCAATATGTTGCAGCTGAACCATTCCCCTCTCCTCCCCTCTCTCAGAAAGTTTTCAGCTCTGGTTTTCCCTCTTTAACCTTATTCCTGCTGTTGATGTGCTGTTGTTCACTTCCTTGTTTCATCTTCTGCCCCGCTCCCTCCAGGCAGAACAGGCCAGCCTGTCTCACGTTGTGGACCTCCTGTCTCTTATTGTGGTGACAGCCATCTGGGCGCTGTGTCCTGGGGACAGCTTGGCACTGGTGGGAGGGTGGGCAAAGGACAAGCTCACGGAGGTGAGGTATTACTATTCATGATTTGAGTCATTTGAATACTTGGAGCTGCAGGCAGGGCGTTGAAGCTAAAGTGAGAATAGCAGGAAAAATTACAATGTTCGAAGAGTTACGTCAGTTTTAAGCTGTAAAATGTGAAAGTTGTGTTTTTTTGGATTGTCGTATGTGAAAGTTCTTCTTTCACCTTTGCAGCTGATGTTCAACCATCCCTACAGTCGAAAACTGGAAGCTGAGGCAGATCAGGTTGGATTGCATTTAGCTGCTAAGGTACCACTGCTAAGTTTGTTTCACATTAGTCCTGAATCTATAGCTACGATATTGCTGCAAAGTCTAGATTCCAACCATTTACTGTTGTTATTACAAAGTACTGACTTGTGCTACACACATCTTCACTACAGGTGCCAATAATTTTGAAAGGTGCTCCATGAAGTTTAATGCACACTGTAAAAAATTAAAGTAATAAGTGGAATCATTTTCTATGTATGTTTTGCTGAAACACTTTGCAATCTGCCAACGAGGCACCAGGGGGCACTGTTGTCAAACTAAATTCAGCTCCTTTAGAAAGGCTTTTCATTTGTGTACTGCTGTGTTACGTGTGTATTTTTTGATTAAGAGTTGTATATGTGCATGTGTGTGTGTGTGTGTACGTCTTTCCCAGGCCTGTGCAGATGTGCGAGCAGGCCCCGTGTTCTGGCAGCAGCTGGAAATTGTAGACAAGCTTACAGGGAATCCCACGGTACCCGAGTGGCTGTCGACACACCCCTCACACAGGAACAGGTCTGGTCAGATGGACCGCCTCATCCCACAGGTAGAATAACACACAACAAGCGCCACATTCAGCTGTGTCTCCACCAGTTAACAAACAAAAGCATTTCTTCATGGGATTGTCGCAAGCCGCCGAATGAAGTGAGGGCATTTCTTTTCATCCTCGTCGGACGTTTGTTGTTTTGAACAAAATGCGTAGCTTTAGGTGCTGTTTGAAGATGTCTGAATAGAACTAATGAAGCATCTGGAGAGCTGTATGCCCACCTGCAGACACGGAGAGGGAGCCGCAGAGGAAGCAGAGACTCGGGGAAGAGGAGGAAAAGATGCAGGGCTTTAGGAAGACAGGAAAACCATTTTGTTGTGCCAGGCCCTGGATGCTTGGCACAGCAAAATGTCGTGTAGGATTTGAATGTTTTGGATCTGGAAGAGAACGGCTCTTATCATTAGCCACTCAGTCTCACAGGACGGGACACTCTGCTGGCGCGGTGGGAAGACAATCATTACTATCTTAAGGCTAAAGAGGAATCAGCAGGCACTAAAAATGAAAAACAACTTCGACAGTGGTTGTACGCTTTATACCTGTGAGTATTTTAGGCAGCCATACGTGTTGCTGTAGTCGGAATATCGTCGCTCCATCAGATGCTCCAAGCGGTAACGTCGAACAGATGGGCAAAGCCTCTTAATTGTCCATCAGGTGGCAAAGTTGTGGAGTTTGTGCATCGCTTACTTCCCTGTGAGACGGGCTGACCTCTAGCAGCAGTTGTTGTCGAGGCCAGGATGTAGCTGCAGGCAGCGAAGTGATGAACGCTGCGGCGCGGGTATTGTTTGTGTGCATGAGCTGATAAAACTCTGCTTCTGGTGCGATAATATATAATACCCGGCTCACACCAAGCAGTTTGATCCAGCCGAGCAGCACAGATGAACCGGCTAACAGCTGAGCTTCATCAGCTGAAAGTGATGCATAATATGATGTTTTTAACCTTGCGAAGGGGTGACAGCCTCAAGCTACTTAACCCGACTCTTCTGGGGGCACTCCTCCTCCTCCACAAGTGTGCTCATCATCCTTAAGCAAAGCAAATTAAGTCCACAGGTAGCATGAGAAGGACAGGCTGTCGAGTGGATAGTTGAGTGCACGTTTGTACACGCACACTTCCTTTGGAAAGTATTCACCCCCTTTCTGATTGTTTTTTGTTTTATGGGTTTTTTAAATGATAAGTTGAAACAAAAGTGGTGTGTAAAAAAAAAAAAAACACATTTGGAAATAGAGGTGGGCATTTATCGTATCGCTTTTCATTTATCGTGATAAATTTCTTGCCTCTGTAAGAATTTCGATTTATTGTTGCCCACGATGAATTCCAATTAATGACGTTTAAAACTCCCCAAAACTGTCCGTGTTGGCGGCATTGTCATTTTTTTTAATGATTTTCTCCACTGCTTGTTCAATAAGAATATCAACAAATATCAGTAAATCTGGAAATATGACTATATGCTGTGGGTGTCACAAAGGAGTGTGTTATTAATGGGAATGTTCTTCAAGAGCTGCATTTGTGTTTGTGGGGCCGCGATCGCTGCGTCACGCTTTCACAGCCTGTTCAATTACCTAGAAAACATCAGGACAAAAAATTTGCGGTAAAACTTTTAGGTTTCGAGGTCTAATACCCCAAGCTTTGGACGCCTCAAAAAGAAATAGGTTAAAAAAAAAAAAATGTCAGTATGGCACAACTACAAACCTTGTTGTGGTTGAAAGAGGAGCATTAATCAGAGAAGTAGCAAGAGGCCCCATGGTAACTCTGGAGGGATCCGGAGCTCAGGTGGGACAATCTGTCAACATGACTACTGTTAGTCATACAATCCATACGTCTGGCCTTTGTGAAAGAGTAGCAAAGAGAAAGCCATTGTTTAAAGGAAGCTATTGGAGGACCCATTTAAAGAGTCCCCACGAGAAATGTAAGGAACACGGCTATCATGTGAAAGGAGGCACTTTGGTCAGGTCAGACCAAAACTGACATTTCCGTCGCACCCGACTCATCAAAATTTCTATTTCATCTCAAATCCTACAATGCAGAACACAGTTAACATCATCACCTCCACAGTAAAACATGTAAAACATGGTGGTGGCAGTATTATGCTGATAGAAACATGGACACAGGTAAATATTTGGTCATCTCGAGGTGACCAAATATTCATTTAATTGCTGCAAATGAATGTGGTTGAGATTCTCCTTCCAGAAGAGCTTCATATAAAACTTTGCTAAAATACCTTGAAGTTGAGGTCAGTAAGTTACAAGATATGAAAAAGTTGGAGGGATGTGAATATTTTCACAATGTATATGAGATTCTAAGTACAGAAGAGGAACTATGTTTAACTCCTACAAGTATATTTATTACAAAAATATGCTATTTGGTTAATTCACACAAACTAACACTTATTTTTTCAAACTGATGTGATAATATTAACATATGTGTTGGGTGAGCTCTACATCTAGTTGACCAGCGTGTTTGCAGTGGCAGAGCAGATGTGACCATTTGTTCATAAAGAAGGAAGAACATCTTCAATTAGCAGGATTTGTTTGTTTCAGACTGAATATTGATTGATCAAAGATACGTTGTGTCGTGATTTAGAGCTGTCATCGATTAAATCTATACCTGTTTCTGCTTTTTGTTCATCTGTGCAGGCTCTGGAGCTGAGGGAAACTTGTTCATGCCCCGCGCTCTCTCCTGTTGACCCTCGAGCTGTCTTCTCAAAGACCGTCAGCGAGTTGCTGGCCAAAGCTAAAGAGCAGGGGGTCGGAGGGCTAGAGGGGACACGCGAGCCACAACCCGTCTCCGCCTCCGTAGGACTGCCGGTTTCTCAAACGGCGCTCGCTTCTCCCTCACAAGTGGCTCGGTTTAACAAAGACAGGGTCCCTGCTGTCACGTCTCCTCTCCCCACCGCTGCAGGGGAAAGATCCCAGCATGTGCTGCAGAACATCAACCAGCAGGGGAGTTAAAACCCAAACAAACCTTCAACAAACTTCACTCACTCTATTGACAAACTTGCTACAGTTTGAAGAGGCAGGATTTTGTATTTTCCAGACACAGAGTGTCATTTTAGAGCACAATCAAGTAACTACGTTAGCTTCAGTCGTTATGAAAACGCTGCATAAATCAAAGGTGACTTGAAAGAAACTTGACTTTGCGATTTAACGCCTTGAAATTGAGCCTCTGTCTCTTTAACAAGCTCCTGCTTTTTACCGAGACTCCGCCTTCAACACGTCATCCCGAAAACGTCTCTCCTTTAAAAACGTTTTTAACCAGCTTTTCACTGAGAAGTTCTTCATGTGCTGAGCTCAGCAGATGCAATGTTCCACCAGGTGTTTGCTAATTGCTGCTGCCGCTAGTCTGAAGGAGATAGCTAGCATTTTGAAACTCTGACTGGTTGCCACAGGAGATTCAAGGATTTCTCAAACATGCATGAAAGAATCAAAGCAACACTCCTGGTGTGTCTTTGACGAAGGAAAAACATTGTAAAACGGGAAAAAGTCTAATTTACATAATACTGCCCCTTTAAAGCTTTCTGTTTCTTTCCTACATCTATATGCAGCCACTTAAAGTGGTCCCTAAGTGCCCAACACATTAAGATCCCAACCATTACTGCGACCGCCACAGTGGAAGATGATGTTCAGGAAAGTTTTCCAAAGACAGATTGCTGAGAGTATAATAAATAAAATAAAAATAAAGAAATGGGGCAAAAAGTCAGCAAAGCCAAATTGAGAATGCTGTCCATGTCTAGTGTCCATAAAGATGCCACTTTAATTAGCTAACCTTGACCAGGGAAATGCTGCATTAATTAGCAAAGCTCCCATACTTTGTGAGATTAATATGTGCATTATTCATCGATGCACGGCAACAGCCGGGAAGAAGCACTTAGGTGTGCATGTTTGATGCTTCGTCCATAGCGAGGTGAGGCCATCTTGCGTTCTGGCTGCGACCGTCGCATTCTCATGCAGCACACACACCCTATGCACTTTATGCATTTTCTAGCCTGGGGGACCTAATCGGGCGAATTGATGCTGGCCTGTTTTAGGACACAGTTCTCTGCACAGGAATACCAATGTCAAGGTGTTGAGCTTTTGAGGGTGAAAGAAAAAAAAAATGATGGGACTTTTTTGTTTTTAAAACTCTCATTTAATAAAAGCAAGCAGAGTGAGAAAACATTGATATTTACAGCAGCAGCCTTGGGGAGCAGTCACGCACCGAGCAGGGGAGGGCAGTTATGGTTCAAAGCTAATGGTGTTCTTTTATGTGCGAGTGTGTGCTGAAATTAAATGGTACACTTGGATACACCATGAAATCAAATTCTACAACTGTGTTATCATTGCCGAAAATTGGTTTATTTTACGTTATGCGTTTTAGATTCAGATCCAGCCGCCAAAAGAGAGAGTTTTCCCTGTAGCTGGCGACGGCGGCGGCGGTAGTAGTTTGTGCTTTAACCGGTGGGTGTCCGGCTCAGTTGTCCGGTCAGGACACTTCACCTGCCTTGGTGCGTAGCTTCAGCCACCGGGCAGCCGTGGCTACAATCCTGTAGCTTGCCACCATCAGCGTGCGAATGTGTGTGGGAATCACTGAACGTAATGTGTAATACTTTGTGGTCCTCTGGACGAGGTAAAGCGCTATACCATTTGTTTGACTTTAGCGGAAAAGTTCTGCATAGGAATCTAAGTCTGTTAGATTCAGGAAGTGCATTGAATTAAATGGAAAAAGAAAGAAACTGTTTTATTTCAGCAATTCAGGAGAAATGTGTCCTGTAAACACTTTTATTAAATTAAAATTGTACTTGAATCAAGTTTATCTTGCCAGTTTTTTTTCCTCTGCCAGATCCATAGGCTGACATGGATTAAATTGCAGCAAGAAATAGTAATAATAATAAAAGGAATAAAATATATTTTTCCTGTGTCTATAATCAACGGCCACCTACAAAGAGCAACACAGTTTTAAACCGAGTGAATCTTGGGGATCCTATTTAAAGAGTTAGCTCGAGGTCCTGTATGTCATCATTACTGACAGATAATGTCACGCTCTTGGATTCGTAGACTGCTTCCTTGCTGGCCCCTCACAGCTCACTAGAAAGATGTAAAGTTATGAAATCTCATAAAATAATACCACAAGCCAATCATAGCGTGATGAAAGCTGTCAAAACTCCCAAGAGTCATCCTCAGTACTGCTCCTTTGTGACGTCTGCCAACTGTTACAAGCTCCATCTTCTTGAATACAAGACCAATTTTGTCATGTCTACACTGCCTTGTATTCATACGTATTGGACTTTTCCCACATTTTGTAACCATATCTTATTTTCATTCAAACGTAAAAGTATCTTATTTGGAGCTGATGTGATAAACTTGAAGTGGTGTGTTCTTTTGGTAAAGAGTTTTTAGAAACAGAAACCTGACATGTTTTGTCATGGGTTTGTACTCATCGTCCTCGAGTCAATCATTTCTAGAGCCGCTTTTTGCTGCAAGTCCAGCTGCTGGGTTGCAACATGTAGACCTCCACATTTTTATCCCAATTCTTGGCAAAATTGCTCACCTCCAATGTTGTTTTTAGATTTTATATCTAAACTTTTTACTAGGCCATTATAACACATGAACTGTTGAATAGTAGCTCTGATTGACGGTTTATGTTGAGTCATCCAGCAAGAAGGCAAACCCTAAACTCCACTCTCAAGTCTTTAGCAACCAGTAACAGGTTTTCTTTTTGCATTTTCCTGCATTTACCTTCGTACCTCTGCCTATCCTCTCCTACATTGAATGGCAACTGTGACTAAAAAAAACAACTGATTATTTCCCCTGCTGAAGAGAATTATCCCATCAGCATAACCCTGCCACCTCTATGTTTCACAATTGAGATTGTATGTTTATACTGTTCGGTGTTAATTTTTATTATCTTTCAAGGACATCAAAAAAGTTCAATTTCAGTTTTCTATGTCCCCTTCATGGCTTCTGGCAAACTGCAAATGAAACCTCTACTGACTTTTTTTCCTGCCAGTCTTCCATTAAGCCCAGATTGGTGGAGTACACGGCTAATAGCTGCTGCGCAGATAGATTCTCCCACCTGTACTGTGGCTCTCTCAGCTCTTCCAGAGTTGCCATCGGCCTCTTGGCTGCTTCTCTGATTCTGTCTTACTATGGTTTGCAGAGTTGGCATTCTATTTGCTTTTTTTTTGTTTGTTTGTTTTTTGGCTGAAAAAAAAAATTCTGTGGGGTATAAATAGTTTTGCAAAGCACTCAGTGTACTAAAACAGCTGTGGAGTATATGCGCCTGCTGGATACGTGCTGCTGTTAAATAAAACTGAGAGGAAAGCAGGAATCACAGCTCGTAATACAGATTTCCTTCCTCTCTCCTGGTCACATTGTTGCGTTGCACAGGGAGGCGGGCGTTTCCCTCGCCACTCTTGGAGAAATTGGAACATGAGCAGGCAACAGATGACACACTTACACCCAGAGGTAATTGTAATGAGCATGATACAATACACACACACACACAGAGCAGAGTGAGTAATTGTAGCTCACAGAAGACTTAATCAAGGAAAACCAAGAGACAACGGCAGAGCGTAGAAATAGAAAAGTAGTTGAAATGAAACCTTGGGCTCTGACAGGAGAAAAGAAATGTTTTATTTCAAGTATAGTGAGCATCATAATGTCTCCATTTATATCAAGATGTTTGATTTTTTTAACATGCCACTATATGAAGGCTGTATGCAAAAGTCCTTGTCTCTGAAGTGTCTCTGCAAACACACACCGCCTTAAGCAAAAAAAAAAAAAAGTGAAAATCTTATTTCTGTTTTATGTCTATAAATTCACCTCAAGTCTCAGTTTGTTTTGTTTGTGTTTCCTCCCGCCCACTGGAGACACCAGACAAGCTTCTGAGACCCTAAACAAAAGGGCTTGCGGGTATTTTCAGGTACAGACGAGCGAAGAAACGCCGAAGACGGCGCAGGAGAAGGCAGGATGCCTGGTAGTCTGCAAACTCGAGATGTTGTCTTCCCCCCCCCCCCCCAACAAAAAAACACCAAAACCCCCCCCCCCCAAAAAAAACCCCCCCAAAAA